CACCTCACCGAGCTGATTGGTGTATTCAAATTTGTTTCGTCCAGAAAAACCAACAGAAACGCTGAAAGCTTCGTGGTGCTGTGACGCGGCCTGCAGGTGCACCTAAATGTTCAGACTTATTTCAGAAGCAGACTTATTTCAGAAACAGTGGCTCTGTCTTGTGCACTCTTGCATAGCACGACTATACTTCTTGTCTAGAAAACATCTTGAAAACGCAAACCCGAGTCTTCCAAGCTGCACGCTGTTGTTGCTGCAGAAGTGGCTGCTGCTGCGGCTGCTGCCCCTGGCTTGGAGGGGAGTTTTTCCGCCCTTAGCTAAGGTTCTTGAATCAATCTGCCTTCTGGTCCTTGATGCTACTTCTCACACCCGTCTTGAACGGTATCGACATAGTCATCACATGGTCCTTCCTTCCCTTACTGCTCTTGCTGCTCATTGTGTCCTTGCTTTGTTAGGGGCATCATCACCATCACTATCCGAGGCCCAAGCAGCTGCTTGGGAGCCTCCCCTCCAAACCTTTGCGTCTTTCAGAAATGTCTCGCTACAAGCTTGAAACTTCCCCTTGCTCCCGGAATCCGAGCCCCGCACATAAGGCCAGCGCTTCATCCACGGCGCCTCTTCCCCATGCCGCAGCCGCCTCAGGGTTAAGGTAAAACGATGCAAAGATCGACTTGATTCTCGGGTCTGTAGAGAGCAGCCGGTGCGCTGCTGACAAAACTAGCTACCCTGTCCAAGGTGGGGAACCGCACAAATTCGTACTTTGGCGCAGGCCTAAAGAAACCCGTAGGTGACCCAGGCCTTGTGCATCGGATTGTGGAGTGCGTGGGACCCTTCGTATTTGGTTGACTCTCGCGGGCTTTGGTGAGTGGGTTCCGTAGGGCACCAGTTCAGGGACATTGCATGAGATGCAAGATTGGGGCCAGTGGGGCCGGGTCTAGTCAGAGCGATAGGTCATGTTGGGCCGCTGGGGAAGGTCGGTTCGCGAGCTGCTGTTGCATGTCTTGGTGCTCGGTTTGCTTTTCTTGGTGCTCCTATGGGGCCTGCCACGATCATCTTGGTGTCTTGTCTCTGGGGCTACACACGTCTTGTTCTCAAAAATTGAGTTTAGATCAGGTAGGCACACAACTTGGGGCTTCTTGCATGGCGGCCATGTGGCCAAAACCCTCAAGCAAAGCCTGGAACGTGCAACAGCACAAAGGGCAATGTATGCCGCCGAGGCCACAGATAAAAGAGCACCAACTCAACAACGAGAGCCTGATAACCCCCATTGTTAACTCGCACAGGACACGGTTTGTGAGCTCCGTGAGACTGTGGGATGGCAGTGGTCCGACATTTCTTTACGGCACAGCGGGCCCTTCGGGGCTGAGGGCTTCTGCAAGCACGCCTCATGTCCGAAGCTGAGGACCACGGTGATGTTGTTGCACCTGGCTCGGTGATCCACACATTGCCAAGCCATGCGGTAGCGAAACTTTGAGCTCGAATGGACGCTAAACTCGGAAAGCCTTTCTCGCAAAAGTGCCGGAAGGGATCAGTTGCTGAGCTCCTTCCCGGACGGGGATGACACAACTACGAAGATATCCTTGGACTGGCTCCCAGAAACATCCCGTAACCAGGAGCCCAGTCACAGCCAGATCCCTTCGCAATTGTTCTTGTACTATCTGCTCTTGCTCTTGGTAGGTTTTGTACGGACCGGTAAAGACCCTGGACCCGAACCGTCTGTTCCATCAACCCCAACCTCAAAGCTTTCATTCTACGAACATGGGCTGAGGCCAGAGCGGTGGTCGAAGGAGGTAGCTGCTCCAGCTGAACCTGCTTTGGGGGATTTAAGGGCTTTGGGCTAAAGGGTTCAGGGTTTCGGGTTTACAGGGTTGAGGCTACAGTGCTGAAGGGTTCAGTTTTAGGGCTTAAGAGCTTGGGGGTTTGGGGTTAACGGGTTCAGGGTTTTGGACTTTGGGTTCAAGGGTTCAGGGATTCGGGTTACACGGTTTTGGGTTTGAGGGCTCAGGGTTTGGAGATGTTTGGAGTGTGGATACCTCTGCTGTGGCTGGAAGTTGTCTATGTGCCTCGAGGGTTTGCGTCCCAGAGCGCGGCAACTCATCCTGCACCAAGCCGGTACAGAGAAAGCGGAAGACGACCTCTCACGAGTCTCACAGCACACCATACTACGCCATACTCTTCGGCTCGACTTGAAAGACGCCTCGTCGCTTGATGGCACCATCCGCCGCATCGCTGACTCCGACCCCGGGGGCTCTGGAGCTCAGAGCTGAGCTGAGCCTTGGGCCTCCGTCATAGTCCACCACGCCGTTGTGAACGACACGCACCTGGACACGAAGCTCGGGTCAAGGACGCTGCCTGCATGCAAGCTTCTCAGTGGAGATAGGACCTTGCCAATCGGTAACTTCGAGGCACCCCATGTGCTCCTCGAAAGTCGATGATCTGGCAAGCAGGAGAATTCAAGCACTGCTGTCCTGACCTGCTCTGCGACTGATTACTGCTGGAAGCCGTTTATGGCTTATTTGGCGGATCGGCTGTCTCGGAGGTGAAGCCAAGCCAATTCTCTCGGAATGTGAGTCTGTGACGTTTTGAGATGTTTTGAGTAGCAGATTCGAAGGCGACATAGTGGAGCAGTTCAGGGCGGATTTTGCGAATGCGGCCGTTGGCTTCAAGAATCTGGGGTTCGCCTCATGTCACAAGAACCCTGAACCCTGAACCCCAAACACCAACCCCAAAACTACAAATCCGTAAACCCACTAACCAACAGCCCACACTCCAATCCCTAAACCCCCAGTCGCAAACTCTGAAACCTGACCGCATGAGGCCCCGGTCCTGCTTCCAGGTGGCGGCGAGGCATCCGGCCCTCAGCGCACAGCGTTTAGTTGTGGTTTTGCGGTTTGCGTTTAGGATCTATGATGAAAGGCTCTAGGGCCAGGGCTTCAGTCAAGGTTTTGAGGGGAACAGTGTTAGCATTTCATCTTCAAGCTTTCAAGCAAGACAGGCAAGCAAAGAAAGCGAGAAAATGGCTAGCGCTACCGATGCACCCAAGTCGAGGCCCTGTTTCGCTCACCAAAGGCCAAAGGATGAGCTCACTGCGAAAGGCTTCAAAGACACAGCCTTTCATTCAGACGTGTAGGTTTAACGGTTTCAAACGGCAGGGCCTTAGGACTTCGGCTAAGTGATTCACAAAAGGGTGCGGGAGGCTGCGCCCAGACAGGCTACCAGGCTTCCTTCCCTCTGGTCCCATAAACGATGTGCAAGCAAGCGAAGCGCATGATCCGCTAAACCATGACATCCCCACATCGACGTCCCGCGACTTCCTGTGCAATCTTGCATCTGTCTGCCGGCCCCTATCCTTCCGGAACTCGATGGACAAGCCCTGCAGCAAAGGACAAACAGCGTGAGCACAGCTTTCGGGTCGAGGATGGATGTACCCGCAGTCTATGGGGATATATCACATGCATGCCTTCATTGTAGTAATTGCTTATTCGGGACAAAGCCTGTTGAGAAACTCCCGCCCTGGCAACCATCTTCGCTTGAAGAGAGCACGTGCAGCGTCTCTGTCTCAAACAACCAGAACCCCTTATTAATTTTGTGACTCGAGAAGTTGGGGTTCCTGTGTCATAATTGAAGCTAATGCGAAGCAACTCAGGGGTGGCCACGGATGTTCTGTTTTCACTACCACCACTATCACTGCAATAAGTGACAGCTACTACTAGGACTAGGACTAGGAGGAATGAGCAGGAACTGGTGGTGTTGGTGCCTGGTGGATGGGTACCATCAGCTATGCGATGCGTACTCGCTAGATTCACAAGGTTGGGCACCTCGGTTTCGAAAAAAAAAACCTAGCACAGCCGACCCTCCCGAAACCACAATACAGAACCAAACCACTACGACCGGGTAGTGCCTAGCATAACACGATCGGCGGGAGATCGCGCTGGGAACATGTGACGTCAAGTAGGCGAGTAGGGGTGTATTGGTATGAGACACGCTAACAAGCTCTGTTGCTCATTTGGAGTTCGAGAGCTTCCTGAAGAGCACCAAAGTCGGTCATTGTGAATGTAACTCCATTACAAAAGATCTGTCCGCCTGCAACAGCTGAAGAAATTAGCATCCTGTCACCTCGGTCGCATGCAGCGAGGGTAGTGAAGGAACACGCAGGAGAGTGCTTGCAACTGCAGCTGCTGCCTTCCAAATATTCGAGCACACAGCAGCAGAGCAGTCTCTGGGAACACGACTCGCTCTCCAACTTTCCCGTCTTGCCGATCCTGGAATGCAATGTCGGGCGAGGCCGCAGGCGCTGCCGGAAGCAATTCAGCAGGCTAAAGCATCTCTCCTTGCTCCAGCTGCAGCTGCCATGGCTCTCCAGCTTTGAGTCTTTGAAGATCACAAGCACATGGGCTCAAAGTGACGAGGGTTGCCAGGTGGTTGATGATGTCAGCATACTTGGTAGTACTTTGTAACGACTGGCACGCTTGACTTGCCGAGTCGAACTGTGGCTGCAATCTTGATGGGCTCACGTCACAGCTAGAGTCAGCGCACACGTCAGAGCCAAAGGTCATGGCAGCGGCCAGGTGAATGGTCCGAGATTCTCATTCTAATCACAGTAGTTTTGGCCTGCATGCCAACCAACGACATCTACCAGCTACAATGCCGATAAGGCATCGCGACCCGCGCCTGTTTTATCGGTCCGCCGGCGACGGCTCTTGTGCATCTCTACAAGTTTCTGTCACTTCCTCCCGCTTCGCATCCGTGGCTTTCGGCGAGCCTAGCATAAGACGCGAAGAAAGCTATCACAGCGTCCTGGATAATTCAACAGTCAAGCGACTGCACTTGTCGCAGCTGGGGCTGGGCGGCATCCAGCTTCTCCTGCCACTTCCGATGCTGAAAATGCCAGCTGCAACCACAGCTGCTAGCGCACTCTCGAAGCAGCTCTACACCCAAGACCCGAAACCCTAAACTCAAGATCTAGACCCCCACTGAGCGGTCCTGGCAATCTGCAAGTTCGGCTACGGCCTGCCAACACTCCAGGGCTGGTGTCCGCATGGGATAAGAAGAATAAGAGTAAGAAGGGCCAATCAAAGCTCATAACCATTCCGTCATGATGACAACAACAGGAACTTGCATTTACAACAAAAGTTGTTGCAACCGTAACAGCGACAAGAACCACGAGCATGGTCGCACGATGGGATGCAGGCAACGTGCAATGGCGATTTCGTCTTCCGTGCCGCCAGGCGTGTTGTCCCTAGGCTCCCAGCTCGACGGCTTTGGCGACGAAGTGGTACTTGTACATCGCTCGGACCTACGTGACATCTCAGCGACATTCCAGAAGTCCATGCCCTAAGCCCCTAAGCCCTTGTGCAACCGGGCCTCTGTCGCCGAGTACGCTGCAAGCAAGCTGACTAAGCAACCACTGGCCGCCTTAGAATCACTCCCCACTCCTGGCTTAGGGGCTAAATCCGGAACCTATGCCCCTGAACCCGAGACACGAAAACCCTGAACCGTAAACGGCACTGACCACAGTTCCCACCCTAAACACTAATCCCACCAAACCCTAAACTCAGAACAAGAGTTCGCAACATGAAGAGTCTGAGCGCCAAGCCCACAAACACAAGGCCTCGCAAGCGATGGGGGCCTCCGTCACCATGCGTCACCCCAACGTGAAATTCACAATACTATGACTGAGAGAAGGAATGATAGTAGTAGTTTTAGTTTCAGCAGCAGAAATAGCGGGAGTGGAAGTGCTAGTGACCACGGTTGTGGTAGTGCTACGATGGATGGAAGAAGTCATGCGCTGCCCAAATGCTGACTAATGACCCCTGTTTCACATTGATGATAGTATGCCACGTTGCTGGTGCAGGATTTTTGTCGGTGGAACCCCACGGCACTTCCCGGACTGGACATTAACGCTAAACGAGGGTGCGGGGTACCCCATCTCCTGTGACCTAGAAGCAAGGAGCACCAAGTCTTGACCCTAAACCCTAAGCCCAAAACCCTTCCAAACCCAAGCAAAAAGGAGAGCACCGAGTCTTGGGCACAAGTGATGTTGCAATTCTCGTGCAGGCCAAACGCTTCGGGCATGGAATGCAGAGGCAAGCCTGCGAGGCAGGTTTCGGCAGTGTACTGCTGTCTTATTGTAGTATACTTATTGTAGTACCTAAACCCCTCGCCACAGCCTGCGAGCAAGGTTGGGGCTTGGGGTTTACGGCTTAGGGTTCAAAGTTTAGGGCTTCGGGTTTAAAGTTTAGGTTCTATGGGGTTTGGGCTCTGGGGTGTTGGGATTTATTGGGACTGTAGAAGGCCAGGGGGTTCAGGTTTCGGCTGGAGGGCTGGAGCAAAGGTGGAGCCTGTCACGTGGTTGATGAACTCTTCCATCGTTTCCGCGGCTGGGGCATAGTAAAGGCCGCTCGATGACGACTTGTAGCCATCCTTTTGCTCCACCGACTCCGGACAGATGAACGTCTGAAGGACCGTCAAGATCGGCAGCTCGTGCTTGCCGTCCGTGACACGACCACCGTACTCGATCATTGCTCCGAGGAACTTGTAGGGCACCTGCTCGTGCTGGTTGATGAAGAGCACGAGCCTGGGTTCTTGTAAAGGGATACAAACTTAAGTTACCACAATAAAGAAACCCTATCATTTACTATAGATCCCTACTATGGTAACTTAGATTAAACTCCTTAACAAGAACCCAGGAGCTGCTGCCGACAGACTTGCAGATCTTCCGGAGAGACGCCATATGTGGTATGCCAGCCTATCGGCCCAAACTTACGCCTGTCCTGGACAGCCGCATGGAAGAAGCCGAAGCCGACGAGCAGCATCTTCAAGATTTCCGGCTTATTCGGATCCTTGATTAGCTCGTCCGAGAGCGCGGAGTAGGAACGAAGCAAGTTGGCCCGCAGCCCAGAGGGCGGCTCGTTCGTCATCTTAACTCCGTTCTGCAGCACCTGCACCGGAAAGGACGTGGATTGCATAGATGTGAGCGTCGATGAGCTTCGTTGCCTTCGGCCCTTGCAAAATCGACTCATATCTCTTCAGCATGCCAGTCTTGTCAGCGAAGGCAATGACGTCTGAGACTGTATCTGTGCCTTGTGACAGAACGAAGATCGAAGGTGTCGCATTTACCGAGTCGGCAAAGGATTTGCTGATGTCAAAAGTGGGTGGCTCGACAAGTGCTTGACCGATCTGCAGAAAGATGTATGTGACCACCGGTGATTTGAAGCCGTCAACACGAATGGCCCGGATGAAGCACAGAACTCAGCAAGCTCAAGCGCCTGGTGAAGCCAAAACTCCTCCTCCGCAACCAGCAGGTACGTCTGTCGCCTGATGTTCGGTGGCCCGCAAGGATGCACTTCGTCTTCTCACACCCATTTCTTTGATGGTAGTGCCGGTTGCTTAAACGATGCATGAGCCGTGTCTCAGTGCAAGACAAATTCAAAAAGCTTTTGACCTGGCACCTTGAGTTTTGATCCTCAACTAAACTCTGAGTTGCTATTTATCGCGATGCTTACTACTCTGTCAAGCAAAAGCATTTTGAAAGCCAGGGTGAAAGTCGCATGGCAGATTCTGCTAAGCTCCACGATGCAATGATAATGGGTCGAATCGGGTCGAACAGGGATTGCCCAAAACGATCACAGTTTAAACGCACACTGTAGCTTTCAAGTCTTAGTTGATGCTCAAGTTCCAGCTGTGAGTCCGTACAGGGACAAACGTCCGCTGCTGATTGATGTGCTTAAAGAAGCGTGCGAAGCAGTGAATAACCTGCGCAGCTCATAAAGCCTTCGATCCCAAAAGGTTCGCAACAAAAAGGCCCGGCAAACCCCCTTATAGCCAAACACTTCATGTCGCTCAGGCAGACGCATCCACGCATCCATGACTGATACCTCAGACGACAACAGCCGACACAACTACCGCCCCGCCCCCTGTCATGAAAGACTCGTCAGCAAAACTTCGATGATTCTGGCGACTGGTTGTGCCGCGACTTGGATTGCTACCTCCAACTATATTTCCCATTGCACGGCAAATCTCTCAATTGCTTTAGCTATCGTCTTGGCCCACTACTCAGCTAGCAGTAGCGGCAGTGGCGGCAGGAATAGTAGGGCTTGAAGGCTTGAGCCGGACGGCCAGGAGAAGCTTCACTTCACGGTAGGCTGCTGACCGCTGACACTGCCAAACGCCGATCAGGAGAAAGGTGAACCACTTATTTCAATACGGCTAACGTAACTGATAATGCATAGTCCCGGCCGTACATTGAAAGTTTGTGGAATGCGACAGCATAGCACCCGCAAGTACATCGACATACCCTGTCTTCCCACTGCAAATGAGCCTATGCTCATCTGTGACTCGCGTTGCTGTCGGTGCCACCAGTATGATGCCCTCTGAACGAAGCTACACCAAATACCCTGGAATGTTGTGGCTTTTGCGGCAGAATTCTAAGACTTATCCCCGACAGCCACCCCTTAGGCCTGAAGGAACATGAAGCTGAGGGTAGGTCATCTTTCATCACGGTCAGACAGTCGAAATCCATGCGTCCACGCAATTGCACACCCGCATGGGCAATCCCAGAAAGCATCTTGCAATGCTGTTCCAATATGCAAAGAAGGAGTGTTTGACTATGGTGCATTCAGCATGCATGACTGCGACGATCACCACAACGAACTGCGGCACTGCATTGCAGAACAGGGAGATTCGCTGCAACCAGTGTGGTCGTTCTGAATAATGGTACGATACGGGCTTTTGCACTGTTTGCTCGGAGAGTATATGCGACATCAGCAATGTTCGGCTCAAACGTTTTTCTCCCCCAAATGCCGTCGTGAATTCCTGAATTCCATGCACCGGTCACTGCAGCTGCCTCTCCCTGGCCCACACAGACTCGGCAGTGATAAGACGGCAAATGCAAGCCCCCCAAGGACTGCAAACGATATGGTCACCTACCGCAGAGTAGGATACACAGATGGACACCGCTATGCAATATTTTTGAGAATCTACATTCATTTCGAACATGCAAATGACTGAGCGTGCCTACTCTCCCGTCGGCGGCGCGTTTTCCTGCGCAAGCAGGCTAGTAACGGCCAGTGCGGACCTTTTTGGGAGCAACACTCCGGCCCACCGGCGGCGAGTGTGAATCTGTAGCATCTGGTTGGGGCTGCAGACTCCCTGAACTCCAAAACTCCAACCCCAAGAAAACCCCAAGAAAACAGCTCACCTGAGCGAACACACACACACACAAACACCTGCCCTACATTCTTGAGTGGAATCTTCTGCCGAACGGGTCAGTACGGCCAATGTTTGCTCAGGTTCGCGCTCGGGAGGTGTTTTGGGCCTCGGAAGCGAGGCAACAACACTAGGTTGAAAGGCAAACCAGGAACAGCTAATGTAGGGGCCTATATTTCATTACCAATACTATTTTGGGGGTTCCTTATTATGACTGTAGTATAATGGGCCCCCAAACCCTAAGGCCCCTACATTAGTCAAGCGCCAAGCAAGCACAGCATAGTAGCCAACTGTCTGAAACGTCGGTGACATCTCAGCTCGTTTCTGTCTGGGGCGCCTGCGTGCCCCCCCGCTTGCCCGCCTGCAGCTGAACACAAGTGCTTATATAGCATGCACATGCTTGGAACCAATGTGCATGTGCAATGAATGGCATTATTAAACCTACATGCATGAGTGGCAGCAGCCAGTGGAAATCCCAGAGCGAATCCTCCTGATAGAGGTACTCCGGCGCTGTGTGCAGAAAATCGCACATGATGCGCACATGCATCTCGAGCCTTCGGGCCGCGGTCCTTACGGACCCTTGGACTCAACCTAGGCTCACTTCAGACTGCATACGACTTTGGCACTACAGGCACCATAAGACAAAACGCCTGCTCTCGTGTGTCACTGAATCGTATTCCTTCACCCCATGCAGTCTCTCGCCTTCTCGTCACATGATGCGGGTGCTCCTGAATTACCACCTGGGCCCACAGCGGCCCGTCCGCCGACGGCCTGGCGCACAACCGTTGTTCAACGTGGGATTTCTTTTGCTGAGTTCAGGCCCGTGCTTAGCACTCTCTTACGGGTGTGCTCTGCAGCAGCATGCCCCGCGATGTTGAATTACAAGCAGTGGGCCGACAAACCTGATCGAGACCGTAGCTGCCCTCACCCAGGCTATACTTTACTCAATTATAATACACTGTAAGACCCGAATCTGACCCTCTAAAGATCAGCTCGCAACGGCTAAATCTCGAAAGAAACTCATCCGCAAGATTGGAGGCAACTGCAATGAGTAATCTCTGCAGTTTGAAATTGCTGGACTGGCTCGTGCTCTTGGAATTCTACTTACCGGCAGTCCCTGATTAAAACAATTGGATTGTGCTGCCCGGCTGTCTCGACTTGAAACGACATTGAGCGGAACCTAAGATGCTGCTACCCGGCACCTGGCTTTGGGAGAGGCAACGGGGGCACCCTCCTGCAACGGCTGTCTGTTGTTCCGGCATCTCGCGCTGTGATCAGGTAGGAGGGAGAAGCTTCTGTGAGGGCTGCAAGAGCAGGCGGTCTGGACAGCAAGCTCTTTATCGAAAGGAGAAATGGTCCGGTCACAAGTTCCCGTACCTCGGGTTTTGTGCATCAGATTGACCTAGCAGTTTGAACCCAGACCGAGCTCTACAGAACTTGAGAGCCGAAGAATAAGTGTAGAACCGACAGCCCTCAGGAGTCTACAGGAAGGGCATGAGCATGCACGAACGCAAGAGGCAGAAGTGCAAGGCCAAACAGCCGTGATCCCCCACCCCCAAACTCAAACAAAACCTCCAGGCCATTGGCCCAAGATAGCCTTGCAAACTCGCAGAAAGCACTAGCAGACATACCGCCCCATCCTCTTGCTCTCTGTGTGTGTGCAGGCCTGTGGTCAATGGCCGGCGCATGTAACATGGCGTGCGTTGCTCTGTGAATGGGTCGGAGAAGTAGTAACGCTTGGCCAAAGCTTTGAGGGGATGTGGTGACACAGCAGCTTGCGCGCGACATAGACCGCATCAGGCCTGCAACCTGGTTGAAGAAGTTCCTGAAGATTTAATCTTTACCGACAAACCAAAGACAGAGGAGGCCTTCGGGTGCATGGCCGGCGGCAGCCTCGTCTAACTTGCAAACCGGGTTCACGATGTATGCAGGTGCTACGCATGTGCTACGTGTGTGCTACGTGTGTGTTTGTGTGTGTGTGTTTGTTTCTACACTTATATATATATATATATATATATATGTGTGTGTGTGTGTGTATATATATATATATATATATGTATATATACACGAACACATTGCCTGGTGGACATCTCTACGAATCAAGTCCTGAAACCTTTACTTGCTGGATCACAGGGCTCAGTACGGAGGATCTACGGGAGTCATAGGCGTTTCCCTTGCAACGATCTGCGGTCGCATGGCCCTGCGAGCACTTTTGCATCCGTAGGGAGCTGCGAACACGAAGTTCAGAAGTTCATACTCAAAGAACTTCAGCTACGCTGTTTACACCGTGTTCGAAAGCAGCCGTTGGATTCATGGGCACTCTCGCCAGAAACATCCAACAAGTGTGAGAGTACTGGTATTACCGTACTGTACCGTCACAAGAGTCACAAGGTCGGGTCAAGCTGGAACAAGTAAGCGAGATGTATGCTTCGCCACCTTACACACTGGGCAGGCACATGTATTTGCACTTAACATACATGCATAACTCATTCTCTATCGTCGAAAGCCCACCATAGATGCACTTCCCGTGTCCGTTAATTATGCTTTCATGTCTGCGAATGTCCACAGATGGACGTGGTACAACTCTGTAACAGCCGGAAGCGGACTCGCACCGGAAGTTTCGAATGCAAGACGACGCCCGCAGACCACTATGCCCGAAAACCTCCAACCATAAACCTGAACTCTAACCCTTTTTACACAGGCTTGATTGGAGCTCGCCCGGCCAATGTCCCTCGTACTCTAAACCCTAAACCCTAAACTCTGAACCTTGAGCCCTGAACCCTAAACTGAAGCACTATACGGTCAGCCAGGAAGC